GATCCCTTCGACACCTCGTGGTTGCATAGGCTTTCAGCACATTTTTAATGCAGTTTTTGTGGTGCCTTGGGTGATATTCGAATCGGCTTATACTCAAGTATATACAGTAAATTGCCTTTAAAAAGATTTGTATAAACATTGTCACAGTCCTAATGCTCTCTCCCTCTCCTGCATTCCTTGCTTGTTCCCCAAATCCCTTTCACCCGCCCCACCCTCTGTCTTTTATTTCATAAGTTCCTTTAAACATAGGATAGAAAAGTTCTGGCCACAGTACAGATATTAGAAAAAGGACTAACTACCTCATCTTTCTTTATTGCCTTTGTAGTAGCACAGACAGCTGAAGAAAGTTGAAATGAGATTGGAGACATATTGTGTCTCCAATATGGTGGGAAAATCTCCATTTTTTTAGTCATAAAAAGTTAGGAAGTAGAGCTTTTGACTCCCTTCTTTCTCTTCCTACTTCAAAATATAGCTTCACTTCTGTAAGAGAATTGAATTGATAATGAAACCTTAATGTGACACCCCCCCCCCCTCTTTGTTTATAGCACTGCCCGGAATCCTCTCTCTCCTCTCACTCTGTACCTTCTCTCCCATCCCCACCTCAGGACTATAGTCCCTTGGAAGAGCTTTCGCCAGGCTCTGCATGAAGTGCACCCCATCAGCTCTGGGCTGGAGGCCATGGCTCTGAAATCCACTATTGATCTAACCTGCAATGATTATATTTCAGTGTTTGAATTTGACATCTTTACGCGACTCTTCCAGGTAGGCGACTACAAAGAGTTGATTAAACAAGTTTCAACTACTTTTCTGAAGAGCCTTTTTTTTCCTTTTAATTGGAGAAAGTTTGACATATTATAAGAGTATCTTTTACTCCTTTTAGGAACCACAAGTAGAAATTAAAACTACCCTGTGCATTTTGGTTTTTTTATGTATTTGTGTGTGTGTATACAAATACTTTTTAAAAATAGCCCTGCAATCTGCTTGACATCCCTTGCATTCTAATCTTACTCTTCTTTCATGATCATTTTACTAGTTGGAGAATTTCTAGAAAAAAGGTGTAGCAGAACATATTTAATCTTCACTATTATTATTGGGCATTTATGCATGTTTGTTATTTTTTCCAATTGTACTGAAATTCTTTTCTCTTGTAGTTTTATTGTAAAAAATATATAAAATACAACCTTTGCCCACTCACCATTTTTTTAGGTTACAGTGTTGTGGTATCAGTTATGTTAATCAGGTAGCATTGCCATCACTCACCATCACTGATGAATATCTCACCATAAACCATCTCACCATAAACCACATTTAAATTCGTAATATGGATATATTCTTATTGCTACACAAGAGGGAGAAAAACAGTACCACTTTCCCCCTAAATTTAACAATTTCTTCACTGAGTACCTGTTGTCAACTCGAATAAAAATGTCTTTGGAAATCACTGGTTGTACATGTATGCCTCGTCCTGTTTTTCTGTTCGTTTTTGTCATTTAACCTCTGCTGTGGGTTAGCGTGCTTTCACATTTCTTTATTTTCATTTTGTATAGTGCACTTTCACCCTGTAAGTGTGTGTGTGTGTGTGTTTCTTTTTAGTTTTTCAAGGTTTTTATATCCCCAAACTTCTTTAGCTTTCCCAAGAATGACACTGTAATGGAGACTTTGTAGTACTAAATCAGCAGTTTCTCACTGAGAGTTGAAATGGTCTGCTTTTGCTTTTGTTCTTCATTACTTGAAGAGTGGCGGTGTGTGTTGAGCCGGCTCTCTGTGATCGCTGTCTTGTTTCCTTAGCCCTGGTCCTCTCTGCTCCGGAACTGGAACAGCCTGGCCGTGACTCATCCCGGGTACATGGCTTTCTTGACATATGATGAAGTGAAAGCCCGACTCCAGAAGTTTATTCATAAGCCTGGGAGGTCAGTGCCATGAAGCGAAGAGGTTTTGATCTCCTGAATCCTACTCTTTGTGCGACTTCTGCTAAAACAAGCAACAAAATTTTTTATTAGCGCTCCATACCCAAATTCTTTAATAGGGTTGATGTCTGTTTTTTCAGAGGAATTAACTAATCAGATCCTGTGATTTCATAAATGCTTTTAATTCATTTAAGAATTAGACATAAGGATCATTTGATTTTGGTCTGGAGTCATTGAAGAAGCTATTATTGGCATATAATTTACATATCATACAATTTAATAGTTCAGTCATATTAAGAGTTGTGCAATCATCACCACTATCAATTTCAGAACATTTTCTTCTTTCTTGCACTCGTTGTTAGTGTTCTTATTATCAGCACCCCATTTCTCCCCAACCTCCCCTGCCATGCCCCAAGGTAATTATTAACCCAGTTATTAGGTATTCCATGCCCCAATGTAATTATTAATTCCTGTCTCTATAGATGTACCTATCCTAGATTTCATAGATACAGAAAATGATACAAAACAAAAACAAGAAACAAACAAAAGTACTCAACAGCAATGACAAAATAAAACCAGTGGAACCTCAGTCAAAAAGAAAGCAGAAAATATGAACCAAAACAACTTACAGTGGGTCAAAAGGGAGACAAAATACTAAAGGTGTTACATTTTAACCTAACTGCATCTGCTATAATCAATACTACAATGCTCTCTGTTTCATAGCAAGACTGTTTATACCTGGACTACGATCAGAGGGGAGTCACTGGATGCTTCATACATGTGGGGACCCTGCAAATGGAGTTGAGGCTTTCACTGTCATCCACAGTCTTCTTAAAAATGGGTGTTTAGAATTTAAACTCTGATACCATTCCCTCCTCTGGTTTTGGATTTTATTATTTATAATCCTTGGATCACATAGGCTGGTGTGCTTCTTCTGTGTGAACTTAGTTGACTCCTCCCTTAGACGGCTGCTTGTTTGAAGACAAATGCTTAAGACTTCAGATGCTGACGCCGTCATCACACTTTTCTGTAGTGCCCACACCATCAGTGATATCTTCATGAGGGCAAGTATCAAGAGCCATGTCATAAGAACTAGTTTTTCTTAGATTAGGGCTACGATTAAGTGTGAGCCCCAAATCCATTTATATATCTATGATTTATATACATTTCTGGTTCACTTTCATTTTATAATAGAAAACATTATAAATCATTCCCATAGAACATAAGGTAATTCTGTTGAAGTGTCATTAATGTAGCCAGTGGTGTAGAATTTAAAACACTGTTGAGAAAAGGGAATTACAAGTGCATCAGCCAGTTTTTCAGGCTGCAATACATGAATTGTTGACTTATACAGATTAAAACGCTTACGTGACTAGGCATGATTTACATGAACAATGAAGCTTGCAGATGGGGCAAAACTTGTAATAAGCCTCATTCACAAGGCTTGCCTTGCCTTCCAGAGCAACACAAGTCATGAAAAGCAAAGAACATCAGAATAGTAAAGCTATGGTAGTCTAGGGCCACCATGCACTGGGTGCCCTCCAAGAAAGCGCTTCCTAAGCGACCCCATGGCTTTCCGACAGTGACACGAGGAGGAGAGGACTGCTGTTCTTGGTGTGCCTTCTGATTTTGACCAGCTCTTGCTTCCTACCCTAGTACCAGCATATGTCTGAGAGCTTCTGTTTATCTCTGTTCTCAGTTACATTTTCCGGCTGAGCTGTACTCGTCTGGGCCAATGGGCTATTGGCTATGTCACCGCCGATGGGAATATCCTCCAGACAATCCCTCACAATAAACCTCTCTTCCAAGCACTGATTGATGGCTTCAGGGAAGGCTTGTGAGTAACCACTGCTTACTGTCTGTGCAGAGGAGAAATCTCAGGGCTGTATAAGTTCATTTTTAATGCGTTCATTCCTGGTGTCCTCTACAAGTGAAGATTCAGGAAATATATTACTGGAAATTATGTTTATCTAGGAAAGTATATTGGTAATTGAAATTACATTGATTGATAGGGTCTTGTTTTAGTAGGGACTCCTTGAGTAAAACTGTTTTTCTCTATTGCTGCTTCTGCTGTTACCACAAGTAAACTCCTTTTTTTTTTTTTACTTTCATAGAAGCAGCTTTATTAATATATAATTAGTATTCCACAACCTGCACATATCAAAAGAACACAAAATGGTAGTTGTGCACACACGTGCGTGTGCACACACACAAATACAATTTTGACACCATCAGTGGACTCTAAAGGAGATTTTCATTTCCCATCACCAAGCTTCCTCCGGCTCCTTTGTGATTTCCCTCTGTGATAATTAACTCCTCGTCGTCCCAATGCTCACTACCTTCCTCCATCCTACTTCCCTTGTCTACGAAACCATCTTCTCTCTGTTAGCATCAATTAGCTTATATTTTTTAGAGGTTTTTTTTTTGTTGTTGCATTTTTCAAAGTCTATTTCAACAGCTTAAGTAAATTGACAGTGCATAACTTCTAAAAGTCCTAACTGTAATTTCACATAACAAATAAAAGGAAACTAATTTGGGCCTTATAATTACAACTTTTCATTGAAATGATTTTAAGATTCAAAATGATACTATATGCCAGTGTAAGGAAGCAAATTAGTATGCTAAGTTTGAAGACATATATTTACCATCACTGGGCATTAATATTGTCTCTGAGCTTCCTAGTAACTGTGGGGGAAAAATAAATCGAGAAGTTTTCAATTTCTCAATCAAGCACTGATTTTAAAAAATAACATCATTTTGCATTTATGCTCTTTTTCCTTTTTCCCACCACCAGCTTACTTTTATTTATTTTTTCTTAAGGAGGAGGCAGGGCAGCAGATTTACTGAGCAGTAAAGTCAGGAAACACTGGGGACAAGCCCCTAGGGCAGTGGTTCTCACCCTTCTTAAGGCCGCGACCCTTTTATACAGTTCCTTATGTGGTGGTGACCCCCCACCCATAACATTATTTTCATTGTTACTTTATAACTGTAATTTTGCAACTGTTATGAATTGGGCGACCCCTGTGAAAGGGCCGTTCGACCCCCAAAGGGGTCATGACCCACAGGTTGAGAACCGCTGCCCTAGAGGGTCTGCACTACTGCAAGGGCGAAAGTAGTGAGACCATCTTTTTAAATCTGCCGGCAACATTTTCCAATTTTTAAAAATCGTTTTATTAGGGGCTTATACAACTCTTAACACAATCCATACATACATCAACTATGAAACGCACATTTGTACATTCATTGCCCTCATCATTCTCAAAACATTTGCTTTCTACTTAAGCCCCTGGCATCGACTCCTCATTTTTTCCCCTCCCTCCCCGCTCCCCCCAAATTTCCCAATTATTGCCAGTACATTTCCTCAGTTAGTAAACTCGCCAGCCTCAGGGCAATTCGCTGCTCCTCCTGGTAGCAGAGCTCAGTGATCTTCAATTGCCTCTGACGTCACTTTATTTTTTCATTCAGACTTCAGACTCTTGTAACCAGTGATTTTTTTGAATAAATTCTCATTTATTCCAGAATTACTATTCCTTTGTCAAGTCAAATTGATTAGCAATTGGTAAGCACTAAAAACACTAGCAGTTGACCAGATATCATGAAAATAGCTGATCTTTTAAAGTGATAAGGAAAATCCATCTTGGGGCTGAAAGCGCTGTTCCTCAAACGCTGTAGCTGCCTCATGAAGCCACAACGTACCTGGCAGGAGCATTTAGTGGTATAGTTTGCTTCTCCCTACATTTCCTTTGAGGTGGTGCCTCTTAATTTTGTAAACAAGAAGTTTCTGATCAAAATGCAAATGCATTTTAAATTCACATTGATATCTTATAGTTACCCATAGATTGAAATAAGGGTTGGAAACAGTGGCTCACAGGCCAGACCATTCACTGTAAACCCTACAGCGGAGACTGAGTTTTACTCTTTTAAAGTGCCATTTAGAAAAATGAAGAGCCTTGGTGACTTAACAGGTTAAACACCAGTAAACGAAAAGCTGCCCATTTGAGCGTACCCAGTGACTCTGGAGAAAGGCCTGGCTCTGTCCTGTTCAGATCACAGTCTCAAAAGCCCTCTGGGTTAGTTCTCAGTTACAGTGTCCTGAGTCCGGGTCAACTTGGTGGCGTCTGGTGACAATTTAAAAACAAAGAGCCCAAGCAGAATATGGAGCAAACCATATTTGGCCTCACAGCCTAAAATAGGTACTCTGTGGCTTGTTACTGAAAAAGAGAACCCCGTGACAATGTGGCCTGGAGGAGGAATATCTGCTTTTGGAGGCTATACGAGGGGTACCCCCCCAAAAATGGAATTGTGCTGGGTGGAGCTTTTGTATTTTTCCCCACTAGGTGAGCATCGAGCAACTCACTCTAAGTTAGAGCACCCAGTGGTGTTGCCTGAGAAGATTCTCTCTGGTCACACTGAGTTTTTTCATATAAGCAGTTTTGCTCGAACCTCGTTTTTTGTGATGGCCGATTAAGAGAATAGCGTGCAGCTGTGAAATTTTGTTTCCTGCTCGGGAAAAGTGCTGCAGAAACTTGTGATATTGAACATCGCTTACAAGGATAGTGCTATGTGGAAAAACTCAAGTGTACAAGTGGTTTTCTCGTTTCAAAAAAAGTCGATTGATGATAAACCTCGTTATGGACGTTTGTCAACTTCCTGAATGGACGAAAATCTCGACTCGACTCGTAGTGCATTTGGAGTTCCACCGGGTCAGACTGTTTGTCAAGCTTTCTCTTTAGAGGTTCCCAAAAGTTTTTGTACAATAGTGTGCCACAGAAAAGGCCTGATTTGTGGCAGGTGGGCGACTGGTTTTGTCACCACCACAATACACCTCCTCACGCGGCCTCCTTGGTGTGCCAGTTTTGGGCAAAAAACAGCATGCCTTTCTTGCCCATGCACCTCACTCACCTGACATTGCTCCATGCGACTTCTTTTCCTTTCCTTGAACGAAGAGGGACATGAAAGGACAGCGATTTGACAGCGTACAAGAGGTGAAGAAAATAATGGGGAAGGTTCTGGCAGTCATCCAAACAGATGAGTTTGAAAACTGTTTCCAAGAATGGAATCACATATTTGACGAATGTATTAAGTGCAATGGAGAGTACTTTGAAGGTGATAGGGTTGTTTTGTCAACAAATTTAAATATATAGCTTTGGGAGGAAAATATTCTGGGTTTTTTTGGGGGGTGGTAACCCCCTCATAATTTTGGCTTTGTTTTTTAATTATTATTTTTAAAATTTTTATTCATCGTTTTATTGGGAGCTGTTACAGATGTCATAGCATTCTATAATTCATATAGTTCAAGCATAATTGTACAATTGCTACTACAATCAGTTTCAAAACATTTTCTTCTTAAACTCTTTGATATCAGCTCCCCTTTATCCCCTCTCTCCCCAATCCTGCTTTTTAATTATTAGTAAGCTTGGTATAAAGTTGTCCTTTTAGAATAAGGCAATTCCTAGATGTCATTTATCTGTGTTAAAGCACTGGCAAATTTGTCTTTAAAAATTTGCAAACTCCAATCCTGGTTCCACTTTTTACAGCTATTTGTTTCCTGATGGAAGAAATCAGAACCCAGACCTGACAGGCCTCTGTGAACCAACTCCCCAAGACCACATCAAAGTGACCCAGGTGAATCTCGTTTTGCATTGTAACCTGTAAGAGATCTGGCTTTCTGTAGAACTGACAGTACAACTGTGTTGCTGGGAGCCCTTTAACGTGCAGTCACTTACTGGGTGCACAACTGTGTGATTTCTCTTTAAATCATGCAGCTTAAAATAGGATCATGACGACAGGCCTTCCAGTTTCATGGAAAGACCTCACCACTGTTGGAGCATTTGATGTAAACACATCTGTTGACACTCCATCTGGAGTTTTCTTGATTTTAGCATTTATGATTGCATTCACTCTTTCAACTACTGTTGGCGATGGGGTGAGTAGTTTCATAATTTTCTTTCTTTTTCTTTTACTCAAAGGAACAATATGAATTATACTGTGAGATGGGCTCCACATTCCAGCTGTGCAAAATATGTGCTGAAAATGACAAGGATGTAAAGATTGAGCCCTGTGGCCACCTCATGTGCACCTCCTGTCTTACGTCCTGGCAGGTATGGATCCATGCCAGGCCTGTCCTCAGCTTTGCCATGGCTCTGAGGGATTGGGTATTTTTGTCCTTTACAGATAAAAAGCAGGGCTGGTTGGTAGATAGATCTGTAATGATTTCATCTCTAAGAAATTCACTTCCTAGGGAGTGAAAGTGTGCAATACTTTGCAGTGTGTCTGCTACTACCTGTGCTTCCTCTGCAGGAATCAGAAGGCCAGGGCTGCCCTTTCTGCCGCTGTGAAATTAAAGGTACTGAGCCCATTGTGGTAGACCCATTTGATCCTAGAGGAAATGGCAGCCTCTTGCGGCAAGGAGCGGAGGGAGCTCCTTCTCCGAACTATGATGATGATGACGATGAGCGAGCGGACGACTCTCTCTTTATGATGAAGGAATTGGCTGGCGCGAAGGTAAGACTGCCACTGAGGAAACTGATGGGAAATCCCTGAGAAGCTACCTGTGTTCTAAAGCAGTAGCGTACTTGATGACATTCAAGCTGTAGGGAGTGCGTATTCACTACTGTTACTGAGCATTGCTATGTGACAGTGCCATGCTAGGCTCTTTACCTACTTTTACTCACCACCCTTTGAGTCAGCACACTTCTTAACCTCATTTCCTAGATGGGTAGACCAATACACAGAGAAGTCACGGAATTTCCCAAGACGCAGTCTGGTTCCAGAGCCCATGTTCTTACTGCCTGCCCCGTAGACTCAGGCTTTGCTCCAGTGGCCTGCTGGAGAAAAGCAGAGCAAATCAAAGAACTGGACCCTCTTTCGCTACTGTGATTAGAATGGGTGGATCCTGTTCTTTTCCTCAACGGAGGAACGTTAGGGCAGGGGGAGAGGTGGCACTCTTACTAACCACATAAATGCAGCTAAAGTGGTAAGAGGGAGGTAGGAGCTACCACATGGAAACCCAGCAAACCAGAAGGCCTGAGTAAAGATAAGAAAGGTCAGGCTGTGGTCCCACTCTGACATCGCAGAGGCAATGGTTTTCAGAAGTGCAGGACAAACAAAAGGCTCCAATATGCTATAGATTCGATAGTTTTGGATGTTTTATTAATTTGCGGGGCACATTTCCTAGTTGCAGAAGCAGCATTCTTTCATGCCAGTACCTGATTGCCTGTCACATAGTAGGAGTTCAGTAAAATATCTCAGTGATATTAGCCAGTGTGTCTCTTCCTTTCTGACTCCTATGTCATGGCTTATCACAGGCGTTCACCATCTATTCTATCTGCTGCCAGAGTGACTGATCGACTACACAAGTGTAGCCTCCACAGTCTTTGATGGCTTCTCATACTGACCGGGCTACATTCATTCTCATTTGCCCTGTACGCCTCCCCACGTTGTTTTTCAATGGTCACACCAGGCTAAACCACTCAATATGACCCTTCTAACCTTTTAAAGGAACCCTGCTAGTGTACTGTGAGTTCACCAGTTTGAAGCTACCAGCCACTCTGGGCTGTCTGTTCCTTAAAGATTACCAGTCTCGAAACCCAGAGGGCACTTCTGCTCCATCCTGCTGTATGGTGGCTATGAGCAGCCATCAATTTGACAGTAGTGGGTTTCGTTTTTGGTTTTTATTGGTTTAGACTGTCACTGCCATCACGTGACTGGGTCTGACTGTGCCAGTGCGGAGCTTTTGACTCATCCAGGAGACTGGTAGCTTACTAATAATGTAAATAAGGGGTATGTACTCTTGTATCTTCGTGCAGATAAGGTCATGGCACCCTGACCTGGGGATATGTCAGTTTTCTATCCCTACAATTGAGCCGTAAAATGAGCCCCCTGGAGGCAAAAAAGGGGAAATCTCATTACCATCACAGAAGAAGAGCCAGAAGTAGAGAATGCCCTTTAGACACGAGCAAGGCCCCTTTGCTGAGCCTCCTCTACCAGGAGACAAGAGAGTGGTGATCCAGAGATCCTGGGAAGCAGTAGTCAAGAAATGCACCAGCAGCAGAGCAGAGGCAGTAGAGTAGAACCCAAGAGACTGGTCGGACGCAGAGCAGTGGGCGTCCCAGCCTACAGAGATAGTGGAGTGTGTTATGTGTGTGAGTCCGGGGTGACTAGAGACACAAATCCAGAGAGGCACTCAAGTGTATAAGAAAGAGCTTTATATAAAAGAGCAATTGTATATTAAGAAAACATCCCAGCTTAGTCCACATCAAGTCTGTAAGTCTGATACTAGCCCATATGTCTGATAACAGTGTAAATTCTTCTTCAGACTCATGTAACACATGCATTAGCAACACATGCAATAACGCTGAATGCAGGAAGATCACAGGCCAGTGGGTGGAAAGTCTTGTAGATCAAGTGGCATTGGAAGCATCTCAGCGCTGTTGTGGGTCTCCATGTGGCCAACTCCAGGACTCTGTCTCCATCAGCATAGCTCCATTGGCTTGTCAACAGGAATGTCTCAGAGAGTGTGTGTCCAGTCTCCAGTAAGCTATTTATCTTCATTAAGCCTCCAAATGAAGTCATCAAGCTGCGACCTGATTGAAAGACTAGACTCAAGTTGACAGTAGACTATGTAACTGCCACAGTGTCAGAGCAAGAAGCTTGCTGGTAGAGTGAGACACCTCCGTGAGGAACTAGGATAACTGTCCCATAGAGCTAGAAGCTAGAAGCTTACTGGAGGGCTAATACTGTGCTGCAAGGCACTTAAATCAGCTGAGCTAAGAGAGCTTTGTAACACTTGCCCAAGTTAGGCTGAGGCCAGACTTGGGGCAGGGAGGCACGCTTGGCAGAAAAAGACCTACCATGCACACAGCTGAGGAAAGGCTGTACTGATGGAAGAATTTTATCTTGAGCTTGAATTGCAGCCTGTTACTTCTCTTATAAACTCCACAAGTGCAGTGTCTGTAAGTTCTGTGTGGTCATTAGAATAGTCGAACCCAATAGAGAGGTAGAGATTTGCCACGTGGGAGGAATAGTTGGTGTTGGAATGGGTGAAAGAGTTGGCAAGAGAAGGTACGTCTGATGTCCACTTCAGAAGACTCAGCCTTGGGCAAATGATGCAAATAATGGCGTAACCCCCACCCCCCTGTAACAGAGGAAGTCAGACCCTGCCGCCTTCTACCCTCCTGGCTCCCACTTGGAGTTCCTCCTGGCTCTGTGTAGTCATTTGCTTCTCAGCCGGTCCGCCTGCATCTAGGGACTATTGCCTTCCTGAACCCTGCTTCCTCACCCTCAGCTCACACAATCTAACCCTAAACCTAACCCAGCTCACACAATCTAACCCAGTGTGGCCGCGTCTTTCTGAGACCCTGTGAATGGTCTGTCACAGATCGGGTTACTGTGTAATATTTTATCGAAGTATTTCCCATTGTCACTTCCTAAACGGCAAGAGCCATGCCTTATTTGTAGTTCGCTATTCAAAGCTGGACACTGAGTAGTTACTTTCAGTGTTGGCTTGGAGTTGGAAAGATGTCAGAGCAGGCATGATAAATTTACAGATGCCTGATGACTAATGCCCACCCCACTCCACTCACTGCCATCGAGTAAATTCCAACTCCTAGTGACCCTAGAGAACTCACTGCCTGAGACTGTAGCTCTTTACTGGCGGAGGAAGCCTGGTCTTTCTCCTGCGGAGCATCTGGTGGTTCCACGTGGGCAGACCAGTGGTTACCCCCATCTACTGGGCTCCTCCACTAATGGGTACTTAAGGGAGAGAGACATTTGAGCAGCAGCTTCTCAGTTTCTTGAAGCTGACAGTGGTTTTTATTGTCAACACAGCAGGTTTCTGGTTTGTTTTGAAGCTACCCTTTGACCCCTAAAAGAAGTCTGTAGATGACTCTGTTCAGTGGTGAGGATTTATGAATCACTCTTGGAAGACTAGGGAAACTATCAACAGATGGAGGGAAGCACTCATTTCTGTGGGTATTTATTTGAAACGTAACTGACCATTTGTCTTCACTGACTTGTAAACTGTGGGGACACAGACACTGCACTCAGGGTTGGTATAGGGTGCACCGCCTGTGTCTGTGAAGGGTGACTTGGCATCTGTCAAAAGGTAACCCTCACAATTTGAATGAACAGTTCCGTTCCAAAGGTTACCCTAAGGAAATACAAGTGCACAAAAACATCAGTGGCCTTATTCTTAAACCCGAAAGCCCCGAATCTGCTGCTGTTGAGTTGTTTCAGCCTCAGAGCCACCCCTTAGGGCAAAGTAGAACTGCCCCAGACTGGATGGTAGGTGTGTGGGTGTTTTTGTCTGTCTCAGGAGTCTTTATCCCTCATGGACTTTATTCCTTATACTTCGCATGACTAGAGTATTTGAATGAGTCTACGTTTAATTAAAAGAAGTGCTTCCACAAGGGGCAACAAGCCATGTCCCATCAACGTAGGACAGGCAAACAAAATGAGGGCCTTATGTACATATACAGGGGAGTGTTCTTCAGCAGCCAGAAGAAGGAATGGAATTCTAAATCATACTGCAACATGACTGAACCATGAAAGCATGCTAACTGAAGTAACCCAGGCACAAAGGGATCGATACGATTCCACTTACATGAATATCTAGAAAAGGCCGTTGTTGTTGTTAGGTGCCGTTCAGTTGACACTGACTGCTCAATTCATTTCCTTTAGAAAGATTAAAACAAGCTTGGTTCCTCGAAGGTGGAGAGTAAAACCGAACGAGCATAGCAGCCCTATAGGGCAGAGCTGAATTGACCTAGAAAACCTCATCCTCCTTCCTCGAAGCAGCTGGGGTTTCGAACTGCTGCCCTTGTGGTTTGCAGCTCAGTGTATAACCACTAGACCACCAAGGCTCCTTAAGGTGGAGATTAAAGATGTCCCAAATGTCTGACTTTGCTAAATGCTCTACTACTCCATTGCCATTGACAGCAGCCACTCCTCCTCCCCTTAATATATTCCTTCACGTCCCATCCCAGGGTCCTACAATTCACTACAGTAGCCACACAGAGCTCTCAAACCATTACGGAACTGGTTCTCATGGTTGTGGAAATCCCAAACTGAAATTCAGACCTTTGTTTGAAGAATCCTCCCCAGTCACACCAAATCTGCACTGTGACTGCAAGGCTGCAGAAACTGGCGAATCAGGCCAGGCATTAGGCTATTAGCGCAAGCCCCATAAATCATAGGCCAGGCAGAGCCATGCTAGGTGCAGGATCCAGAGCAACAGAGCACACGGCCAAAGCTGCTCCATGCAACCAAGAGACGCGATGTGCCCCAGGTGAACGGAGGTCTCGTTGGCTTAGCCAGGCAAAGGAGCATGCTGGGACTCACTTCCAGTTGCTACCGGTGTCCTGGGCCACTAGCCTTTTTGGGGTGGTAACTGGTGACTCATGAGTGTACCTCATTGGTGAGTTCGCACCAGTCTTCTGCACATGCTCAGTCTGGAAGGGGAGGTCACAAAGATGGAGCCTCGCTCCTTAGAACCATCAGCCATGTGAAATCACAAGGGTGGGGTTTGCTCAGAGGTAAAGCCCCAAAGGCAGGAATAGATTAGAAAAGAGGATGAAAGAAAAGGCAGACACAGGCAAGAAGTCGGAGATGGGAGAAATGGTTGAAACATCACTCTTATGATGTTTTGCCGCAATAAAAACCAAAAGTCACACAAATTCTTGAACTAGAACCATCAGACTACAAGGACAAAGGGCCCATCTCTATGGAAAATGAGATTTACAAGTTAAGTCTGACGACTGCAGGGCTTTAAGGGGCAGGAGGGGTGACAAGCTTTGTAGCAGAAGTTCCCAAAATGTATTTGGCTTACTGCCCTTTTCAGAATGAATATCGCTCAGCACCTCACTTGGCAATGAAAAAGTTTTGTGCTATAGCCCATAATCCAGGATAAAGTCGGTGTAGGTTCCTGCTTTTGCTGCCCATGGTTCGTTCCAGCACCTTGCCCCCCACCCCTCCAGGGCGGTATGGCTCACTCTGGAGGAACACTGCTTCACACCCTCCTCTCTAGCCCTCACGTGGGTTTTCACTTCTTGGGTTTCTTACCTGTTGCTAAACCGTGGACAGATACCCTGCTTTCTCTTCATTGCCTCTCCATGTTAGCCATCTATTGACTTTGAGGTGGTAGAGAATGATTGAGACCCTCTCCTGATATTCCCTCTCTAGTTTATTGAAGGAGTTTTCGGGTGGTGCCAACAATGAACTTGTGGCAAACCCACAGGATGGGGTTCAATCTACCCAAGAATCTCGCGGGAAAGGCCCGGCGAGTTGGGAAACCCCGGGGTGATGAACTCCATGCGGCTGATCCTTTTGGTTTTGGCTAAGTCCATATTCTAAGCCAAGTAATATGCTATACTACAATGATTTTTGCTTTCTTAGATACCTTTTTCCTTTTCCTAGAATAATTGTTTATTTTTATTTGCTTAGTTTTCAGTTCCCACCTAGTCTTAATCAGGCTATCTAGTCTTATGCTCTTAAACATCCTCTCAATTTTTCATGGCATAAAAAATATCTTAATAGAGTAGATGTACTATATAGTATGTTAGTACGTTTGTGTTAGTCCGGGTGGACTAGAGAAACAAATTCGTAGACACTCAGATGTATATAGGAAAGAGCTTTATATACAAGAGCAATGAAATACTGAGAAAACATCCCAGCCCAGTCCAGATCAAGTCCATAAGTCCAATATTATCCCATATGTCCGATACCAATCTGTAAAGTTCTCTTCAGACTCCAGAAACACATGCAATGATGCGGAATGCAAGAAGATCGCAGGCCAGTGGGTGGGAAGTCTTGTGGATCCAGTGGCGTTGTAAACATTTCAGTGCTGGTACAGGCCTCCATGTGGCTTCCCCTGCTCCCAGGACTCTGGCTGTATCAGGGTAGGTCCATGTGGCTTCTTCTCAGGGATGTCTCACAGGGAGTCTCTGTGTCCTGTTTCCAACAAGCTGTCTATCTCCTTAGTGCCTCCAAATGAGGTCATCAAGCTACAACCTGACTGACAGGATAAACTCTACCCCTTCACTCTTAATTCTCTCAAATTGACAGCAGGTGATATAACTACCACAACACTGGTGGGAATGGGTTCTTTCCACGAACTCTGAACGCCCAGTATGCAGGGACACTCCAGGTCTCTGTGTCGATGCTGCTCGTTCTTCCCCAGGTACTCTGCGCTGCCTGTCAACTTGAGGTTTTCTCCGCTGCAGCACAGGACTTGGTGGCTCCCTTCTCTGTCAGCGTGCCTGTTTCGTGATCCCTGTTTCCTCTCTTGTTTTACTTCTTTGTTTTGGTGGAGTATAACCTCCAGAGCTTTTTTATGGAAAGGGTGTTTTTGTTTGTGACGAGCTTCCAGCCCTTTTTTGAGCTGGTTGGACAGGGACCCTTTTTTTTTTTTTTTTTTTTTTTAACATTTTATTAGGGGATCATACAACTGTTATCCCAATCCATACACACATCAATTGTGTAAAGCGCATTTGTACATCGTTTCTCAAAACATTTTCTCTCCATTTAAACCCCCCGACATTAGGTCCTCATTTTTCCCCTCCCTCCCCGCTCCCCCCTCCCGCATGAGCCCTTGATAGTTTATAAATGAGTATTTTGTCATATCTTGCCGGACAGGGACCCTTTTAATGTAAATGTTTGTGTCCCTCGGGTGCCAAAAAGGTACCTTCTTCTCGATCATTTCTTCTCCCCTGGGTTTCCCTCTCTTTCTGGAGTCCTGTTTGAAGCTGGGATAACGGCATACGTGAACAAAGCAAGGGTGTTGAGCCACGGACCAGGCGGTAGGGTTTGCTCCACCTACTGCACCTTAGGAATGAAGCAGAGGGATGGTGGGAATAATTAAAATTGGCTGAAAAGGCCACCTGAGAGGAGGACAACTTGTACAGAATCATGGGATCGGGAAGCATTGCAGCATGTGCAGGAAATACTGAGGAGGTGGACCCCCTCTAGACGCCAGTGATAGCTCCTGGGAATTGTGGGAGAACAGATGAGCGAGGTTTGTGAAAGCCAGACAAGAGAGTGAGATTGGAAAACAGGAAATTGAGCTAGCTGTTGTCTTCATACTGATGAGTATCTGAGGGTGGTTGAGCCAGTAATGGTGAGCAAAAGGGTTTGGTGAGTTCAGGTACTAAAAAGGGAAGAGACTCACTAGAAGGTATTTTTTAATAAGTCAGGTCTGAAGGGGGCTAAGTAGATGGAAAAGGAACAATCAAGCTGGTATATCCTTGAGGGACTGACTTGATGTTGACGTTCCTAATCCTGGTGTTGGGCCGCCCATGCTGTGTGGTTAGCCGACCCGACGGGGAGCCTGTTTTCTTAAGCTTGAGTGGAAGCTGCTGCTCACAGTGGTGAGGGCCTGCTCTCCGCGGCACTCTGGGCTGCGCTCATACAGGCTGGTTGCGGTTGCTGTCTTCTTACATGAGTGCTCATACTGCAGACTTGCCTGTGCTCGGTCAGTGTTGCTTCCTGTAGGGAAGGCAAAGGCAAAGTAGCATTTTGTAGGAATTACTCTCTGTCACTTTGGCAAGCTTCTCAGCTATTCATCACCCTGCTCAGACAGGGAAATGGAAATGTATTGTTTCTTCTAATTTGGTACTTGGTTTTTAGAAAGCCAAATGATAAGCAGTGTTAATCCCTATCAATGAGTCGAGAAAACTTCTTTTGAAGGACTGAAGATAATTTTTAATCATGTTTAACTGTTCATTTTTATTTTATAATTTTTAAACTTTTTTCCTCTTTCATCATAACCCGTAGAGCATTCGTTGTCTTGTGCTCTGTCTTCATTCTGCCCATTAAACATGGTCTTCCCAGGGGAGCTTCTGAGATGAATATCAAGTTTTTTTTTTTAATCCAAAGCTTGGTCTCTTTCTCTGAAGATGAAGAGGTGGAAAGCTGGTCCTTTTTAAGAGTGTCAGCTAGGAAACTTTCTGTAACAGCAGCGCAAGGAAGGAAATCTGAGCGTGAATTCTAAATTACAGTTGCCCACAGCATGCCATTGGCTAGGCATTTCGTGAGTGACAGTGCCCTCTTATGGTGGCACAAGTGTAACTCGGGACATGCAAGAACCTTGGACGGGTCGGAGGTTTAAAACAGGGCGTGTGTGTGATCCCAAGTCCAGTCCACTGATCGTCGTAGCCAGTGTTCATGTGAGATTTGCCACCTGCAGCCGGAAGAGAAGTGGAACGATGCCAGCCCCCATCTGTTGGCTTCCTCTGGCTGCTGTAGCACACTCTCGCTAACAGATGGGCTCTCAGTCCCACCGGCCAGCAGTACAGCATTGAGATGTCAGCCGAGCGGACTTCTGGTTGTGGCTGGCAAGTCTTGGGGTGTTCCTGGCAGGGCGGGTTATGGATCAGATCATTGGGTTTTTGCACTTACCATTATTAGACAACTTCTCAAATCTCCCACTTAGCTCCGTTTTCTTGTGGCTGTCTTCCTTCCGTGTGTGCCTGCTCAGCTGCCCTCTGTAAGGACACCAGTCAGATTGAATTAGGATGCACTCAGATGTAGTCTGCAAAGGATCTGTTTCCAAATAAGGTCACATTTTGAGGTTGCAGGTGGATGTGGATTTGGGGGGCGCACCGTTCACCTCTTAGCCCAAACAAGAGTGGTCTAGTAGGAAATGTTGTTTGTTCCAGGTGGAACGGCCTCCTTCTCCATTCTCCGTGGCCCCACAAGCTTCCCTTCCCCCAGTGCCACCAAGACTTGACCTGCTGCAGCAGCGAGTGTCTGTTTCTGCAAGTGCTTCTGGTCCTGGAACAGCTTCAAAGGTAAAGCAGCATCCATTTCTGCCACATCCTCGGTCTTTTTTGTGGAGTAGTGGGCCTTAATGCACTTCCATCATGTTACCACAGGCTGCGGCTGGCTCCCTCCATAAGGACAAACCATTACCAATACCTCCCACCCTTCGAGACCTTCCACCACCACCCCCTCCAGACAGACCGTATTCCGTTGGCGCAGACACCCGGCCTCAGAGACGTCCTCTGCCTTGTACACCAGGAGATTGTCCGTCCAGGGATAAACTGCCTCCTGTCCCCTCCAGCCGTCTTGGAGAGTCGTGGCTGCCCCGGCCAATCCCTAAAGTACCAGTAGCATCCCCAAGCCCTAGTGACCCCTGGACAGGACGAGAATTAACCAACCGGCACTCCCTTCCATTTTCATTGCCCTCACAATCGGAACCCAGGGCAGATGTGCCTAGGCTGGGAAGCACACTCAGTCTGGACACCTCCATGGTGAGTCCTGCTTTTGAGATGAGTTCTCTTCACGTGTGTTTGTGGGTGGCATTTCGTCGGCCACGCTTTTCTCATAGACTGTCTATAGACTCCAGAGCTAATACAATATAGTCCCATCTTTAAGTAGTACAGATGCTAATGAAGCAGATAAAGCTTGTCTGTGCATTATAATAAAGGTCCCTTATGTATAAATAAAGCTCATGAGTAGTATAAATAGCAAATGATTAGGTTTTAGAGGAAGGAGAGCTTATCTCCAATGGATCAATCATGAGGATTTATGGAAGTGGCATCTGAAATACTTTGGGAAAGGGATACCATTTTAAGACAGATCAGCCTAACAGTGGCAGAAATGCGTACAGTGTACTGTAGAATGGTGACACTCCTTAGTGGCCTAGAGTGGAAATTTTGTGTAGCTAAGTAAGAGAAAGGACTGAAAGAAAGATTAACAGTAGATTAAGAAACCAGACCAGACCTACTGCCGTCAAGCCAGTTCTAACTTTTAGCCACCCTATAGGGCAGAGTAGAACTGTTCCATAAGGTTTCTGAGACTAGAGCTGTTGGGGGCAGACAGCCTCATCTTTCTCCCACCAGGGGACAGGTGGTTTTGAACCACTGACATTACAGTTAGCCACCCCCTCCCCCCAGTGCTCAACCAGCTGTGCCACCTGAGCTCCATAACACTAGCTTGGAGGAGCTTAATGGTCCTCCCAAAAGACTCTTGACACACTTGGTAGAAAACAAGGAGCATCAGAAGGTTGTAAATTGGGGATGGTTTAAATCAAAATTGTGCTTTGAAGAGATTAACCTAGAAGCAGTATTCGGGAGGAGTCCCTGGATTGTGCACACATTTGAGCACCCAGAGGTGCCTTGGAAGACAATCTTGGCAATTTGCTTCCCCAAACAACACCCTTAAAACCCCTCTGGAGAAATCCACCTCTTCACGCGTGAGCTGCCCCTAAGTCAGACTTAGAAATCCACCTCTTCATGCGTGAGCTG